ATTGCTGTTACTTAAATTTCGAGAATAAAGTACTATAAATGTTGATAACAAAGGTCATGAACGTTTTATTTGTTGTAAAAATATTTACAGTTAATCTGTTTTTCAAGTTTACCAAACGACATTTTGTATGAATTGTGTAAAAAATACATAAAATAACGTGTCCTTCTGTGGAATATAAAGAAGCCATTTGTTCATGTGTTAGTTTTTCCTCACATATTTCGGTCATGTATTTTAGGTATTCAGATTTACTCCATTTTCCCCTTTGAATTTATTTTACATATATTCTGGAAATTAAACAATAGACACTAACAGTAAAACAAGGCTGTTTTCTGAAAATTGATTTTCAGAGATTGATACATAAAATATTCCAAATGTATATGGAGGGAAAGAAAATGTGTTACAGTTAAATAAATATAATAATTTGAATCCAATGGGATTCTTTTCTATTTCATTATCTCTTTATCTGTCATTATCTGTAATATTCTTTTTTTTTTCAGATGAATGATGTCAGTTTTGGCACATTTCTTTTGGTTTTATGCTTCAATGATATACAGAGGTTAATGTATAAGCATACTTCTTTCATATCTGAGATCTACTAGTTTAAGAAGCAAACACTGATGGTGAAACTTTGTAACCTTCAAAACACTGAAGCCCATAAGTCTTTTTTTGATAGTTTCCACTGTGATGCCCAGAGTTGTCCAAATAATAAAATCTCAGAAGTTTCATTATGTTGCGTAGTGTTGACTTTGTGCTTTATAAAAGTGATTGTGGTCGTGTTTTAAAATTACTTTTCTATTATTCTCTTTTGCAAAAAAAAATCAGTGGAATAATTTTTTTCTGTCTCATAGAGATTAGAGGTGTTGCAATGAACTACATATTGGTGCATTCAATCTTTTTTTTTTTATATACTTTAAATCCATATGACACTTGTGATATGATTCTGCAATAAAGTCTTGAAATTCCAATTCCTGGGACATGAAGATAATGAAGTCCATACCTTTCTTCACTTTATTTAAACCCTTCAATAATTATGTCTACTTCCATTGCAGTTCGTGTCCAAAACCTGTGCTAACAAATTCCCAATAAGTTGTTTCAAAGATTTGTGTGTCTCCTTCAACTTAGTTTCTGGCTGGCTGGGTACTGTGATAACTTGATGATATGTTTCATAAGGTATAATGAAACAACTTAAATAGCCTTCTCTGTTTAAAAGATCATTACATATAGAATGATGTGTTGAGAATAGTTGAAGAAGCTATGGTAGGAACTATCCAGTTGATGAAATTAATTTACCATTTAGATCAGATGGTTCGGTGCTTGATATAGCAGGTTGTTGACTTGTGGAAGCTGTTATATTGTAAGTGTTTAAAAAAATAAAAACCAAATGGATTTCAGAATAATTGAGTTACATTCAAAGCTTAATTAAACTAGATTTTTTTAAAAGTATAACAATAAGTATAGCATAAAAACATAGTTAATAATCCATACTTTAATAGTATATAAGTGTTAAGTTCTTACTTTTATAAGACAATATTTTTAAAAACATCTAAATTTGCCCTAATGCAACATTTGCTCTCTAGTCATCCCCTTTTCTCTAATTTATTTACCACCCCTCCAAGAAGAACAAAATTTAACCCGATGACTACCGACTACTAACTTTCTTAGTAGGCATTGAAAGTCTTGCTATATTTCATTCCAACAACAAAACTAGTGGACGAATATATTCGAAAGTTCATAAGTACTTTGACAAATGTAGGTAGTTTAATAAACATAAAGCCTAATACTTTTAATAAATTTAGTTTTTTTGCATTATGATCTTTAATATCTTGGAAAATTACATTAGGAAATGGTATTTATAAGAAATGATTACAATATCTATATTTGCTACAGATTTGAACTTATTACTTTTAATGTTTTAGTACATTATTTTGAAATCCCAAAAAAAATTGTATCCTCCATAAAATGCATATTTTATCTATTTTTAATTTTTTTAATA